AGAGAGAGAGAGAGAGAGAGAGAGAGAGAGAGAGAGAGAGAGAGAGATATGTTAAAATTAAAAGGTACATGGAATTAACTAAAACGTGTACACAAAGGAAGCTTGGAAAATTGAGTGGACGCTTGAAAAGTGGAGGAAATTCTAAAAGGAAAGTTGTGTAACGACTTTACGTTCCTATCGTAGGAGCAATATTTTTTCAACCGTTAAATAAGTTTGAAATTTGATACCGGATTTTTGAACCGAATTATACACGTAGTTTTTAATATTTGTATATATCATTTATATATTCTTTAGAACAAAAGTTAAAGAATAAACGACGTCAGCCGACGAAATTGTTCCAATACATAAATACATTCGTATTTAAGTTTAATTTTGGAAAATCAGGCTTCCAAGAGTTAAATTAAAGTGTACAATTAAGCGTACAATTAAGAATATATTCTATCGAAAACTTTCCTGGGATATGTTCCAACAGTTTCCATCGAGTCCAGGCTGCCGCGGAAAAAGAATATAAACGGAGTGCATCGAACGCAACGCGAGAAGCGTGTCAAGGTAGACAAACCGTGCGTCAGTTTTGATGGACAGGACATGGGATGGGTTAATGGTCCCGTGTGTGACGCGGAAATGTCGGCTGATCTCGAGGAAGGATCCGTGCCAAGTAAGTAAACTGACGAGAAGCTCTCTGACTCGACAACTTTCTTACGAGATTCTGCCGGGAATTCACGGGGGTGGTTCCCATCGAGATGCGATCGAGATTTTCACCTCTTATCCTACATCAACGACAGACCTTCTACTTTCGCACTTGTCCAGATTTCGGAGACGGGTAAAGACGCGCTCCCAATTATAGATCTAGATGAATGAAATTTACGACTGCGACCAAATATTAACCCTTTGCACTCGAGAGACGAGTCTCAGTCACCAGGATACGTTTTCTTTCGGTTTAATTTCTTTGGAACTCGAAGTGTCAATAAAATGATCGTCGTTGAGACGAAGGTGAGCTGATTCTCAAATCTCAAATTAGAGATCTCATTCGAGGAGCCAATGAATTCTCAATCTCGTTTTCGCGACGATAGAACGCTAAGGAAGTATCTCGAGTTGCTAATAAATACCAGAAAACAAAGCCTCGAGTGCAAGGTGTTAAACATTCTTCGTGATTTTTTTACCGAGAAAAATTTCCTTAACTTTCGCGACCGGTGATTTCACGAAATTTAACCGATTAAATGGTACAATTTTCGATTCAAAAATATATTTTCCAACGAATATCGTAACTCTCGTTTGTCTCGTAAATTACGATCACGTGTGCCGCACTTGAACTGCAGTTACGTGCAATGGAATATAGAGGCACTATCCGAACGAAACAGAAGGAATCGCGATGGCACTGGGGAAACTCGAGAGAGCACTCGAAAAGCTAGAGTAATTTATCTTACGTTCCAACGAATCGGCTGATTAATCGTCGGGGTGGTCGAGATTAATTCCCGCTCTGCTCAGACCGCGAATCGCTGGAAATTATCGAGGTTTATTGATTCCTGACGCTTACTACCGCTCTTCAGATTAAACGCTCGATTTGAACCATGAAACACTCGACTAACCATCCAATGTTATTCGATACTTCGCTACATCTTAAGAGAAGTCTGAAAGATCTAAAAACTCCTAACAATTATTAATAGACTGCGGATCTTTACGCAAAATAAAATCTTCACGAATCTGCCTACGAAAATTTAACCTAAATAGGAATTTATTTTATTCCGCGAATACTATAACGTGAACTTTACTTTCAATCTTTTTTATATTCTTTGCATTCTGCATTTGCAGTTTGCGTTTCGTAGGTTCTTGCGCATTCGGATTTCCCATAAACGCGTGAGTTTATTTTATTCCGCAAATACTATAACGTGAACTTTACTTTCAATCTTTTCTACGTTCTTTGCATGTTGCATTTGCATTTTGCATTTGCATTTTGCATTTGCAGTTTGCATTTTGTAGGTTCTTGCGCATTCAAATTTCCTACAAATGCATAAAGATCCGCAGTCTAGTTATTAAATATCTTACGAGCGGAAACCATATTCAGATACCATATATTAATCATCCTTTGTGATTTTGTTGTCACAGAGATAAATTTTCTTAATTTTTGTTTAACTTTGAGAATATATTAAACATGTTTCGAAGTACGTTTGATGATTTTTTCGACTCGTTCCACTGGTACATTCTTCTCTATAAAAGAGAATATCTCAAGGAACGCTTGATATCTAACGCGGTCCGAGGAAGCACGCGCCGATACTACTGTGCGTCTCTCAGTTGCCATTAGTAGTTACTCCCATTCATAATCAGACGTCGCAGCATTTCTTTTCCTATCCTACGTACGGTCTATCTACAACCGCGACGCACGGAAACGCTAAATTACTTGCTAATTAAAATT